GGAAATCGGCCAGCTCCTGATAGAAGATGAACAAAAATGAGGTAAGAAAAATACATTTTGTAAAAAAAATATCGATTTTCACTAAAACAATAAAAATCAAAAAAAAAAAAAAAACTTCTATAGCAAAGACTTCTGTAGCACAGTACTCAGATTAACTGAGGCACGGAAAACCTCATTGTGATATTAGCTTTATTTATTGGTATATATTGGATTATTGAACCATTTTTTTCTAATATCTCTATTATTTTTTAATATATTTATTTTGTTTTCTTTAATTAAATTTCGTTGCATCCGTTGACAAAATTATCCTGGGTGGACGCGTTGCACCTGGGTAGATCATTTGAGAATATACAGCATGAATATTTGTTTTTTTTTTAGACTATTGTGGGTGGGAGAAAGAGTGGCAGAATTCAAAGACTTGCTTGAGAATCTTTAAGAAGAAATTACAGACTCAGCATAATTTCTATTCTTGCTTTATGGCATAGAAACATACATTCATCTTATGCATAAAATTCCTGAAAAAATATATATTCACACATGACAGGAGGTTTTCGTTGTTAAAGAAAAGAGTTCTGAACTACTATGTGATATCTGTCCTCCTTTACGACAGCGAATGATGGACGGTCTCCTCAATGATGAAGAAGACACTCGAGGCAACAGCGGTATGGTTCTACAGAAGGATGCTAAGGATACCATGGACCAAAAATGTGAACAACGATAAGGTTTTGGAGAGGATGCAAACAAAGAGGAACCTTATACTTAACATCAGGAAGATGCAGCTGAAATTTCTAGAAAATCCGATACTCACGGGGTGAATAGAGAGAACGTGGGACAAGGGAAAGTAACGCGTGACATACCTAGCGGGCTTAAGCAAGTGGATGACAGAACAGGTTCTGGGTGAAGTAGAAAAAATACAAAACTTATTGAGAACTACAAGAGATAGGAGGAAGTGCAAGAGCCATGAACACCTACGTCCTGAATGGACACGATACATAAAAGAAGACTAGACGTGTAACGGATAACGACCGGGAAGAAATCGGAGATCCGAGTTCGAAAGCTGGCCGGGTTCGTTACTTTCCCTTACACGCAAATTCCTTTGGGAAAGTAATGAATGCGTCTCGTCACCCCAACTATGGGCTAAATAGACAGACTTGGTCCGATACTTTTGGTTAGCAACCAGTCTACCGCAGACAGAAACGGAAATCTACTGCGGGAAAAACTTCAGTCTAGTTAGTCATAAATCGAAAGAGACATGATCTCTTAAGCGTGTATAGGCGTATGGCACTTAACTGAAAGAGTCAGCATTTATTTAGGTGAGGAAGTTGTGAAGAGACATGATCTCCCAAGCGTGTATCGCGTATGGCACTTAACTGAAGGAGTCAGCATTTATTTAGGTGAGGAAGCTGTGGAGAGACACTCGAGGCAACAGAGGTATGGTTCTACAGAAGGATGCTAAGGATACCATGGACTGAACATATGAGCAACGATAATGTTTTGGAGAAGATGCAAGCAAAGAGGAAACTTATACTTAACATCAGGAAGAAGAAGCTGAAATTTCCGGGACACGTAATGAGAAAGGAAGACTTGGAAAATCTGATACTTACATAGTAGATAGAGTGAAAGAGGCACAATTTAAAGCAACGCATGACTCACTTTGCAGGCTTAAGCAAGTTGATAACAGAACAGGGTCTGGGTTTGGTTTGGTTTGGTTTGGTTTGGTTTGGTTTGGTTTGGTTTGTTTTACGGCATATCAACCTCAGTGGGTTATTTAATACCGACAAAATTTTTATTGCTGATAATATTTTTCCTTCAAAACTCTATTTCTGGGAATATGTTTTTCTACAAAAATCTATTTCTGAGAATAGTTTTTCTACAAAAAATCTATAGCTGGTAATATATTTTTTCAAAAAATATATAGATGTTTTATTGCTGTTATTGTTTTAAAAAGTATTGGTAATAATAACTTATCCTTCAAAAATTATTGCTGGTAATAAATTTTTTTTTACAAAGTATTTCTGGAATTAAAACCTATTTTTACACTTTCATAGTATTTTGACACAAGTTTCGGTGGTAACTATTTGCGCATAGCTGGGACCCTAACAGGTGCTACTACCCCGGGTCAGGGTGGATCTGGGGACACCAGCAATTAAGAGGTGGTTCCACGCTTCTCAAAACCTCCTGATTAGAGGCCTTGCTGTCGGACGTAGTTTATCGTCTTACCCAGGACGAACAGAGTCTGGGAGAAATAACAAAAAGACAAAACTTAATGAGATCTACAACGGACAGGAGGATGTAGAGTGTGTTAAAGTGGAACACACCTATTCTATAGTTAATAGACTCTCCCATAAGTAGTAGTAGTAATAGTAACGAGTCAGTCACCAGTCGGCTCAGTGAATTGGCTTGAGTTCAATCTGAAGTCGGACGACCAGCTGACCGGTTGAACTCTCTGCCTTCGGGCAGGGAGGAAACCGAAGGAGGCTACGCCGAAGGGCGGATTTTCTTTCGGGGAGGTAAACCGACCCTGAACCCGTTTATACGGGTTCAATGGGCATATTTTTGGCCGAGTCCACGGGCTCGGAGATCCCACGTTAAACCGGCCTTGTGCCACATGACGCCCTCGTGGGGGGTGACTGAATATCCTCAGTGAGTTGGTCAGTCAGTCGATGTCGGACGACCGTTAGTCGGATATAAAATATCAGCCACCACAACTAGATTGCAGCGTCATTAACGGTTATATCAAGTTCCTAACGTTTTGTATGTCGAACCTATTTTAGGACCGACTTAGTGAAATACAAGCCTCCACTGTGTAACTACTCTATAACAAAGTGCCATGATCGCCTACGTCCTGAAGGGATACAGCGCATGAAAGAAGATATATTTAAATAGGTTGTGTTAACCACGGCTTCCTGGAGTTAGTTTTAACTGGTACCTTCATTTTTTCCATATATCTAAAATATAAGTATACATTAACATTTAGAGAAATAAAACAGTGACTGAAATATGTTGCAAACTTTTCAAGTTTTCATCTGAATTATTTACATTATTCAGACTGTTATTCTCATTTTCATTACCATATTCACAACGTTTCGGCCATTGTACACGCCGGTCTTCTTCAGGTGTCCTCAAGGACACATGGCCCAGTGGATAAAGGCGTTGGTTAGATCCAGTGACTAGACCCAAAGAGTTGGCAGTTCAGTACCAGGCTACAGCAGTGGTGAACCAAAAAACTTGGAGAGTTGAGTTAAAGGGCAATAACTGAGACATCTGGAAGAGGCATGGCACGTGGAACGAGAAAGATCTACCCCGGTGGACGAAATAAAGGGATCAGTTCGAAATCAATTGAAGAAGGCCGGAGCGTACAACGCCGAAACGTTATGGATATGGCACTGAAGATGAGGATAACAGCCCGAATAATTTAAATAATGTAAATAATCATAATACCTCATCTCAGAGATATAGACATATTTTTTTTATCTGAAATCAAGTAGATATGAATCTTAATCAAATTGGTCCCAATATATATTTTAAAAAAGCCCAAACTGACCACAGGAGGATGATTTATATTTACATGGGCTTTTTTCATATATCAAAACTATATCTTCTCCATGTGCCGTGTCTCCTCAGGATGTAGGCGATCATGGCTCTCCACATTTTCCTCTCCTTTGTAGTTCTTAATGAATGTTGTCAAGCTCATCAAATATGTTAATCCCCATTTTCTTCTTCCCAATCTACCCTGTGAATCTCAAATCTTCCTTCTTTTAGTTGTTAGCAAAAGGATGAGCCCAAAATGTAAATTACAAATCGGAAATACTAAAATCAAACGATTATGGCTCTCCACAGATTCCTGTTCTTTATTATCTACGAATAATCATGACGAAAGACAGTTGAATGGTTTTCATGTGCTTTCTCCGTGATTTGGTATTCAGAATAGGCTTTCTCGTAAACTGGCATCCAACTAAGGCTAAAAAGCCAAGTCCACCCTGCTCTTTGACCGATAGAGGAGAAAAGATAGATTCATTCTTTACCTAAGTGTATTTGTGCGAAAATGAACACAACAGGCGTGACAGGAATTTGAATTCGGCACGCCGATTCCATTTCCAGCGCTGATAATGGTTACGTTACCTGCATATAGATATCCTGACATTAGAAACAATGTATTTTTATATTTAAATGCCACTTTCATATAAGTAGCGCATTAAATCACCCGACCATTAGGATGAAATTTACCTCTACATGTGTAGTATATACTTTGAACAAAACACGCCCTTCCTTTACCCTTACTTCCAATAACCCTACCCACGAATAAGCATCGTCCTCAAATGAAGGAATCCATACTAGCCATTTTTTTTTTGTCAAACTAATCCTTTGCTCTGATCATTTCTCTTCTGATTGTGGAAGGAGATACGCCATGATTGGTTAATTGCGTTAATAGCAGTTTAGCTTTAATCTTTTTCTTTTCTTTCATTTACGTTTTCTGTCCGTAGATAGCGTCTCCAAGAAAGTTGGCTTTCTCTCGAGAGTAAGAGGCTGGCATTTTATTCTGAAAATCTGCATCCAAATTTTTGAAAAGCCACTGCAGATGACAAGTTCTGATTTTTCTTGGAATCTTTTTATTGTCGTTTTTTTTTTTTTTTTCCTTCCACTTTTGAAAACTCTTGAATTTCAAACGACCGACTTTTCGGAGGTGGTGAAGTCAATAGGGGTTTTTGAAATGCAATTTCAGGTTAGCGAAAAAAAATAGAAAAGAGTCGAGATGAAAAAAGAAAGAAGGAAATCAGAAAAGAAAGAAACGTTGTTAGTCATTTCACACAACAATCTTATCAATTCTGCTTTAAAAAGGGTGAAATTAGAAAAACTTTAAAATTCTGTATAATTATGATAGCGAGAAGAATTTTTCTCTTTTATATTTTTTTTTATCAAATCAGATAATTCCTTAGCGCTTTATTCATGAATGACAAATATACTCTATGAAAATTCCACGAGTTCTAAAATTCACAGCGTACGGCCGTATCACGATGAAACACTAGTTCTCGTCCGATCCCCGTAGTTAATCAACGTTGAACCTGGTTAGTACTTAGACGGGTGACCTATCCGGAATACATGATGCTGTAAGCATGGATGTGCGAGTAGTGTAATAGATAATGTCTCGGAATGTCTCGGAGAGGCGACTTCGAATTCCAGTCGAGTTCATTATAGTCACCCTTGGGAAAAGTATGAATCCATCTCTTTCTCCTCCCAGCTATGGGTTAAATAGTAAGAGTTGTATCAGAGATTCATTATTATCTCCCCCAAATTGTTACGATCCAAAAATATCTTTCGGTTTTAAATAACCTCACAAAGGTTGATAAGCCGTATAAAAAATCAAGCATAACCAATGCCGCCAAAATGATGAAGCCATGAAAATGAGTTCCATTGTAACTTGCAAGAAAGAAAATTATTTTTGCCCAACGCTAAAAAAAAAAAAAGTATTTTTAGACAAGGGAGTCACTTTCGATAATAAGAAAAAGATATATTGCAAGAATTTAAACCAAACCAAAAAAAAAAAAATGTCGTGATAAGATTGTCAAACATTCAATATTTAAACCTAAACAGAATCTATTAAGGGCAAATCATGAAAAGACTTGCCACAGAATTTAAGGAACTTTATTGTCTAACTGTAATTTACATATTTGAGGTGGTTGTCTTGTCAAAGAGTTCATCCAAAAACATGTTAACATGAGATTAAAAATTAAACACCTTTCATTACGAGCGAATCGCGTGCCACGTGAACTTTTTCCACTGTCATACACACACACACACACACACACACACACACATATATATATATATATATATATATATATACACACATATATATATATAAACACACACACACACACACAAACATATATATATATATATATATATATATATATATATATATATATATAGTGATAAAAATTTGGGGTGTTGATTTGAATAATCATTCCGAATAATTCATCGAGTCTAGAAGAATCCGCAACAGAATGCTGAAAGCACTGGGCGTCCGTTTGGGGACTCCTCAGCCATGCTCATCCACTACCAAGAATCGAACCCCGACTGTTACGATAGGTCAAACCACTGGACCAACGGGCCTCGGTGGCGAAGAAGAAACAAACAAGGCTCAATATAGCGCAGCTACTCACTAAATTCCGATGGTGATACTCATCGAAGTATACATAACCCAACGGATAGAGTCCCAAGAAACAAGATAGTTTCTTCTTCATCACGGCTCTATATTGAGTCAAGTTAGTTTTCTTTTTTTATCACTGTTGGTCGAGTGGGATGAAGCTTGCATTTCATTGTAACGGCCCGGGTTCGACTCTCGGTAAAAAAAATGCGCAATAGGACGAAACGACTGTCCTGTGCATTCTGTTGGGGATTCTTCTAGACTCTACATATATATATCGTTTTATATATATATATATATATATATATATATATATATATATAAACTGCGTGCCAAATTATTATAGAGATAACATTTTTTCTAATATTTCAAAAACCGTCCAATCAATTCACACAAAATTCTCACACAATGTTGGCAACACTAACCTGCGTATTCACTGAAAATTTCGTATTGATCTGCGCCATATAAACAAACTGGCGCCGTATTTGTTATCAGCTTTGTGATTTGAGTGTGCCAAATTATTAGAAAAGTGTAAGAATTTAGTGAAAAGATGGGCCATAAAAACAGTTTAAGTGATGCTGAGAAGAAAGCTATCACCTCAGAATTCTCAAAAGGTAAATCTACCCTAGAAATTTTTTTGGAAATATTAGAAAAAAGTTATCTCGATAATAATTTGGCACGCAATATATATATATATATATATATATATATATATATATATATATATATATATATATATGGGAAAAACGATATGTACATTTTTACATATCAAGAACACTTTTAAGAGAATCTATGACAACTGGAAAAAGTTTTCGTGTAACGAGTTTCGTCCTTAGGAATATCAATGCGATGTTTACGTTGATACGACTACAAATGCGTCCGGGGATTTCAAATTTAAATCTTTAAAATTTAAACAATTTATTTTCGGTATAGAATATAGCCGATTCAGTTTAATTTCATTTTGTTTATGTTTTTATCACTTTGATTATTAAGTATCCCACATTGTGATAATAGACGCTCTGCTAAAAAAAGGCGAAATGGTGGAAGAGCTTGGGTGTAAATTTACGGCGGATGATCAAGCGATTAAACTATTTTTTATACATTTTCGTCTTAGTAAATTGTTTTCTATTTTAATTAAAGTAACATGTCTTAAATCAAAATTATGGTCAGACAAAAAAATAAAAAAATTAAATTCGTATGCATGTATAGGCGCATCGCCGCCCGATGAAGTACTAAAGTGATTTTTACGTCGATGCAATTACACATGGACACAAAGTTAAGGGGAGGTTGGAAATTTTAAAATTTATTAGATTTTTTTTCTTTAAAAAAAAGTGAGTCTGGACATAATTTTGTGCAGTCGCATCAGCGTGAACATTATATTTGACTGATAAAGTCCTAAAGAACGAAATGGGTCACACGAAAACTGTTTTATCACTTTGTCATAGATTCCCCTAAAAATAGATTCCCCTAAAATTGTTCTTGATATATATATATATATATATATATATATATATATATACAGGCTCTCCCGTCGTATTCGACGTATGAGGGTCAACCAGCACAGTTCCTAGGAGCCGACGGCTCAGACACCAGTACATATGATTTGATTATAGAGATGAAGGCTTTGTGCAGAATCAACCACACATTTTGAAGGACCGAATACAGAACTACGATCCTCCGCAGGTTTTGAATTCAGAGTTGTCCTTCTAGACAAGTTGCCATCCAAGGCTATAGAACCCAGTCTGTCCTGCTATTTACCCTTAGCTGGAGGGAGAAGAAGAGGGTTAATACCTTTTCCAGGTGTATTAGCACGTAAGGGAATATAATGGATTTCGAGGCACAGTAGAGTAGTGTATAGCGGCTCGGACTGAGGAATCGGAGAGCCGACTTCAAATATATATATATATATATATATATAATTATTTATTTAAAAATTATAATATAAACATGTTATAAAATCACTAGAAAAAAATAACCATTTTGTTTCAACACCTCTGGTGTCTTATCATGTGATGATGTTGAATTTTTTTTTTTTACATTCAACATCATCACTTGAAAAGACACCGGAGGTGTTGAAACAAAAATGGGCTCTACACTATTGAGCACTCTTTTAAGAATAGTAATTGTTGGTTATTGGAATTTATTCGTATACACCAATCATATACTTTATATATATATATATATATATATATATATATATATATATATATATATATATATATATATATATATATTGTCCGTGGACGTGTATATGAAAATTAGCTGTATGTATATGTTTAAACATTAATTGGCATTTCTTTGGCATTGCTTTGACATTCAAAAAAAAAAACTTCGAGCCAATCTTTTTATAATACGAAATTCAGATAGAATTTCAGACAATATCAACAAATAAGCCTTAGCCTGAAGTTTGACAGAACCAAGGCAACCTTCAGTAACGAATTAAATCATAAATCAAAAGAAAACACTATCTCAAGCGCCAACGATACGTCAAAAACGATTAAAATTATTATGTTTGCATTCTAATGTCCAAACCATAAACTTTTGGATGGAAAAAATAAAATGAATCAAAGAGATCCGAAATGTAAAAACCATAACATATTCCGTTCTTGAAATGGATCACTGATTGTCGAAAGAGTTTGAAGATATACGGGCAGACAATTTTTTATTTACACAAGAGCCAAACAATCATTACCTCATACAAAAATAAGAAAAATCGCTACCCGGGCAAGCTGAACTTCGGTGCCTTTACAAGTATATATTTTTTTAAAATTTTCACGAGAAAACCTGAAAATGAAGAATTACGAGTTTATTACAATATACAACTTAATACAAGCTGAAGAAAATATTGTATGTATTTTTTCTAACCCTTAGATTTTCAAATCTTTTCATGAAAATTTCTACACCTATCTTCTTTACAAGATCATTTTCTATTCACAAAATAGCCAAAGAATTTAATTTGTCTTGAGTCATAAATGACCAGAAGTATGGTTTTATAAGCTTTAGTTTTGGAAGATCCCAAACACATGACATGACAGTATGACAACACCCTCAGCCTTCATGCCGCCCTTGGCGACTGCCTGAGATACCTCTACCTTGAACCGGCCCTGGGTAAGTTATAATGTTGGTATATATTCTAATAAGTATTGCCCTACGCTGCCAGGCCTATTTTTTAATTCATTTGCTGCTAAGGTAAAACAGTCAGGTATTAGATAATTAATAATAGTCTCTTTATCGTGTACAAAAGAGATAAATACCTGATCATTAGCAGACTTTGATTTTGAATTAATAGGATAAACCCTTTTGTTTCTACTTTCTACTCAGAGATGCTCAACAAGTGATGATGACATTATTATTATTATTATTACAGTATACAACTTGATACAAGTTAAAGAAATCATTCATTATCCTACCTAATACATTTTTCTAGCCTTTATATTTGCAATCGTTATATGGTACTTTATAGACTTTTTCTACTGACAAAATAGCCAAAGAATTTAATCTCTCTTGAGTCATGGTACCGCAAGTATATTTTTATAAGCTTTAGTTTTGAAAGATTTCAAACGTATGACATAGCAGCTTGATGGCACCCTCGGCTTGACGTAGTTGTTAACGGAGCCATAACAATCAACACAGGCGTCTAACAGGAGTCGTTTCTCGGACCAACCCTCTTTCTACATTATATAAATAATCTGTCTAAAAGTATACTCTGATTTTCGAATATCTATGCTGATGATACAAAAGTATATGGGTTCACCTCCAAAACTCGAGATGACCAAAGATTGACAGATAACTTCTCCCCTGATCTAGCTCTCAGTGGAGGGAAACAGTCTGGTTACATTCAATGCTTCTAAAACCAAACTAGTTTCATTCCTTCCTGAACTATCACTAGTCACAATAAATGGATGTTCCATCAGAGATCTCCCTTGCCTTGAGAGACTATTGGGCCTCACTCAACCCAGACCTCA